GAGCTGGACCCAGGCAATCAGAGGCTCCTCACCCCCTCCTCTGTCCCTGGAATGTGCTTTCCCCTGGTCTTCCACACACTAGAAACTGCCAGGACACAGCCTTGAGAGAGTAGGTGTTGCTGAGACCGCCTGGATGGCACGGGTGATGGAGCCCAGTGAAGGCCTCTGTAGGAACTTTTAAGGTTCTGGTGGGTGGGTGTAAAGACCTACTTATATCAACCCTGTGCACATGCAAGTCTGAAAATGACTACTCGGGCCTGAATAGGTCCTGCAGAGGGCTGATCGAGAAAACCTGTTTGGAGTGTTACACCAGCAGGAGAAGCGAGACTTAAACTTCCAAACACCCTCCCCCCCCGACCCCCCCCCCCCCCCCAGAAGTGCTCTGGAGTGCTGCCACAGGAAACAGTGGAAGAAGGTGACCCTCCCACACAGCACAGCTGTTCCGAAGAACCACCCTGCACTGACAATCACCAACTTTAATAATGAAGGCTAACATGTTTGGGATAGAAGACAAGAATAACTTAAAGAAAAGCTTGCAGATGACAGGGTGATGAACAATGTACCTGTAAAAGCACCAAGCAAGCTTTTAATTGAGTGTTTAGTTTTTTCCTCAGACTGTTTACTTTTTTCCAGGAGGGCACTCACAATGTTGTGTGTGTGTTTTGTATATTGACATTATCCCGGTGGTTCTGGCATTTAGGGGAGTCATAGCCGGGCTGGGGGCGTATGGAGAAAGGGAAGATGGCTGGGCTGACGCAGTGGCTCTCTATGGATGTGGACTCCCCAGGATATGTGCCAATGTCTGAAGATATTTTTGGATATCACAGCTCAAGGGAGATACTGGCACCAGTGGGTAGAGGCTGGATATTGCTAAACATCCCACAATTCATCCTACAACAAAGAACCCTCCAGGCCAAACTGTCAGCAGTGCCGAGGCTGCGAATGCCTGGGCTGCGGATGAGGACTGGTCTGCGAGGCTCTGAAGAACTAACTCCTGGGCATCCAGACACATCCTGGGACGCACTGGAGGTGCACGACTCCAGCAAAGGCCACTGCAGTGGAGGGAGCCCCAAACGCCCGCCTCTTCTTCCCTCCTTCTAACCTGTCCTGTATCACATGGGTGGCTTTACACATTTGTTTCTAAATTGCCCTTTTGCTCTCAAAGGTAAACATCATTTTCATTTAGTAAATAAACATGATGACATGGGTAAAAAAAATAAAATAAAACAACAGAGCTAATGATAGAACCTTAAAACCATTCTAGAATGATCTGTGTTCTCCAGAGGGAAAAGTGAGGCCACAAAGGTTTGGTGATTTATGTGTAGGGAAGGAAATTGTCTTCTTATTTTACAAAGTAATTACATTCTTGAAAGGGCTTGGTTATCTTGTCTTACGTAATACAGGAGGATGCTGCTTTTTGATTATTGCCTTCTTATTTAAAATCTTGAATTCCTCATTTTGGTCACAGTACATAAGATTTATTTAAATGAGAGATCCTGCCTTGATAAAGGTGCTTGCCTGCCTGGTCTCACGGTTAAGAACAGACAAGCAGATGAACACATTCATTTCCATGTACAAGTACTAAGTGACTTACTAATATACAGCCTGCACATAAACAGGACAATAGCACATTTTTCAAAGTAGAAAGTAAATAGAAATGTAGATTCTTTAGTGAGGAAAGAACAAGGAAAAACTCTTACGTTGCTCTATGTTTATTAATGTTCCTCCTTAACTTCAGCTCACCTTTTGCCCTGAATCTTTCATAGGAGTAATTGTGAGAAAGACCCATCTGTTGAAAAATAACCATTGGGAAATCCCTAATGAAATTAATAGAATAAAACTCAACTTCTGAAGGTATTTTTTCCCCTCTAGTGGTTCAATTGTCTTTCCTCTTCTTACTTTATGTAATGCGGTTTACTGTTTGTGTTAAGTACAATTATGCGAACATTATGTTAAATATCCAAAATAAAGTGGGGATCTACATTTGCTTTAAGAGTCCAGACCTCATTTGGGTAGATGGAGAAATCTGCCAACATATTCTCTGGTCATCAGTAAGAGGTAATGCCTTCCTTTTATCTTAAGAGTGTTTATTATCCTTGAAAATTAAATGCCATTCTGCTGTGTAAAGTGAGCTGGCTTCATCCTTTCTATTCTTTTTTTTTTTTTAATATATTTTATTGATTTTTTACAGAGAGGAAGGGGAGAGGGATAGAGAGTCAGAAACATCGATGAGAGAGAAACACCTACCAGCCGCCTCCTGCACACCTCCTACTGGGGATGTGCCCGCAACCCAGGTACATGCCCTTGACCGGAATCGAACCTGGGACCTTTCAGTCCGCAGGCAGACGCTCTATCCACTGAGCCAAACCGGTTTGGCCATCCTTTCTATTCTTACCAGTTTTCTGGGCAGTCGATGCACTGCATCACACTAGCAATGGCTTACATGGTGAGCAAGCATCCAATTCATGTTAGTAATAACTATGAATTTACGAAAACAAAAGAACCTTTCCTGAAACCATGTCTCCCCTCTTCTTCCTGCCAGTCTGTTTTTTATAAACTTAGGGCGAGACTTATACACACTCCCTTCCTCCACTTCCTTACTGCCTTTCATTTCTCCCGCAAAGACCAATATGGCTTCTCCTCCCATCACTCCACCCTGCTCTCACCCACGGACCCAACAACCCCCACCACTTCACAGGAGACATTTCTCTCCTATTTTCACTTGACTTTTCTCCCTTTTCTTGGCACAACATTCTCCCTGCCCCACTTTTTTTTTTTCAACTAAAAAAAATTGCCAAGTGTCTGTCTGATCTGCTTCTGAGCACCAGGCACTACAACATTTGGAGTTCGAAAGAGGAAAAGGACCCAGGCAAGAAGCAACAGGAGGGAACCAGGAGACAATTGGGTCCCAAAGGACCCAGCTGCTCGAGCCCAGGTGACGGCCCTGATTCCTGCACTTCATCGAGCCACAGGATGATCTATTCCAGCCGTGGGCAAACTATGGCCTGCGGGCCGAATTTGAAATGAATAAAACTATTGAAAAAAAAAGACCGTACCTTTTTTTGTAATGATGTTTACTTTGAATTTATATTAGTTCACACAAACACTCCATCCATGCTTTTGTTCCGGCCCTCCGGTCCAGTTTAAGAACCCATTGTGGCCCTCGAGTCAAAAAGTTTGCCCACCCCTGATCTATTCCGTACCCGGGGAGCTCTCACATGCTTCCACTTCCACCATCTCTTCTACAACTAACTCAGTTATTTCCCTCTGCATTACTGAGAGTGCCTTTAAAAGCAGCCTTTCTGCCCTGGCTGGGGGTTCAGTTGATTAGAGTGTCATTCCAAATCTCTCTCGAAAATAAATAAATAAAAATTTTTTGAATAGTAAAACTGCCCTTTCTGCTTCTAGTAATTTCCTTCTCTAATAAATCCTTTCTATTGTAACAAGAATGATTTTCAAAGCACACATTTAATCACATTACTTTGCTGCTTTCACACTAAGATCCCGAGGATGCCGGGGAACTAGTGAAGCGTCCGAATCCTCACATGACCCACAAGACCTTCCATCACCGGGCCTTGCTTCCCTCTAGGAACGTTTCCAGCCTTTTCTCAACACTCTGTGCTCAAGTCACACGTGATGACTTATGTGTGGTTCCCGCACCCCAGGGCTTTCTCCTCTGGGCCTTCCAGTCCTCTGCTGGATCAGTCTCTCTGCCCCCACACACCTAACTGCTGCTCATCCTTCAAGCTTCAAAATAGACATCAAGGTCCTCCTTCACCGCCGAGGCCGGGAGAGATGCCCCTTTCTTGTACCCCACAGCACTCTGGACTTATCCTTGCTGAACCTCCCATCCAGCTGTGTTGCAATGACTTGCTCCTTTGTATTTGCCAATCCAATCTCAGCATCTGGGCTTCATTTGCCTTTCTATTTCCAGAGCCTAAAATAGTCTCTGAAGTACAACAGGCACATAATACATTTTTATCTAATAAGTGTATCATTGATAATTATGATATCAAATGTGTGGAGGAGCCTGTTAATATCAAGACCTGGCTGATTAGAGCCAGATGGATCCATTTCTATAGGTGCACCAATAAGAAGTTCACAGTAGACATCTAAGCCACTTCCCAAAGCCCTGACTAGGCAACAACAATAGGGTGCTGCCAGGTTTAAAGGTGGAAAAACCGGAGTGCATGCGATGTCCTTGGTGCAGAGTGTTAAGTAGGAGAGGGACACGACATGATGTGGTCTTTAGAGACAGCAGACTGACAAGGAGAGAAGCCACGTGAGGACATCTGGAAGGCGGTCCAGTGGTGCACTTAGCTCTGCCCGAGGGGAGAGAAGGCTCCGCCCCCTCAGCTGTGAGCAGTATCCCCGGGAATATTTTTATAGACTTAGCATCAAATACATCTTGGGATATGGAAAAACCCCAATTCAAAAAAAAACTGAGAGAATGTAAAAAAGGCTTGTTTCCAAGCCAGGATGTCTAACATTAGCTAGTTCATAAAAAAAAAAAAAAATGAGCTGTTAGTACAAACAAACTGAAAAATCCAGGCCTGTCTGACTGATTAAGTAGTAAACTAATGTAAGTTTCAGAAACTAATTCAAAGTATGTGTCCTATTCACCTTGACTCAGTTGTGTCAGCTTCCTCTATGACAGTGGTTCTCAACCTTCTGGCCCTTTAAATACAGTTCCTCATGTTGTGACACAACCATAAAATTATTTTCGTTGCTACTTCATAACTGTAATGTTGCTACTGTTATGAATCATAATGTACATATCTGATATGTAGGATGGTCTTAGGCGACCCCTGTGAAAGGGTCGTTCGACCGCCAAAGGGGTCTCGACCCACAGGTTGAGAACCGCTGCTCTATGAAGTGTAAAACCCAGTATACTGTATTTTGACCCATTCCAGGGCAAGGTCTCACCCCTGCCCCCCAAATGTGGAGCAATATTCAAATACAAATATTCCCAAGGTCAAAGCACTCTCGAAGCGACTTGCCTGAGACAGCTTTGTTGTAGTGGCAGGCAGAAGTGGGCGGCTAAACTTCTTCTGAGACCCAATGGCTGCTGGAAACGGCGGTGCGGAAAACACAGCTGCGACACAGTTAATTTTGTTTATCCAACCTTGCATTTCATCCGGGCTCCTAGGAGAAACAGATGTGCTTACGTCAGGGCATCTCTATATCGAAGGGCATCACACCTTGCCCATTTCTCATCGCTGATTTAAATGGCACATAAAATCATTTCTTCATCTTGGTACAACTAAGCCCTGACAAAACTTCATTGGAGCTGAACATTTCAAAAGCAATCGCCTTGGTAACGAAGGGCCCGGAACCAAAGATCATCGTATGTAAGGCTGTGATTACCCCTTAAGGACACAGAGGGGAAAAAGCGATATCACTTGATAATAAATATTGGTTAACCTCCTTTCTGTTTGATACTTAGGCTAGGTAAAAAAAAATTAAATTAATTAAAACTAACTCATCTCTTGCAATCACCTATTTGACTTTAAAATCCAACTGAGGGATACACTGATAGAGGGGATGTGAAGGGCTCCACCCATGTTGGAGGCAGTTTTGACAGTTTCTTAAAAAGGTATCTATAGCCCTAGGCTGTTGGATTAGTGGTTAGAGTGTTGGCCAGGGGACTGAAGGGTCTTGGGTTCGATTCCGGACAAGGGCACAAACCTTGGTTGCAGGCTCGATCCCTGGCCCCAGTCAGGGTGTGTGCAAGAGGCAACCAATCAACATGTCTCTCTCACATCGATGTTTCTCTCTCTCTCTCCCTTCCACTCTCTCTAAAAATAAATGGAAATAATATTCTCGGGTGAGGATTAACAACAACAACAAAAGGTATCTACAAGTCACCATATAACCCAGCAATTCAACTCCCAGCTACATATCCAAGAGAAATAAACACACAGAGGCACAAAAAGGTTTATCTGTGAACGTTCACAGCAGCAACCTTTACAAGAGTCATAAAAAAACCCAACTCAAATGTCCATCAATTAGTAAATAAATAAACAAAATGTGGTATATATCCATGCAATAGACCACTACTCAGCAATACAGGAATACTGTATGATCCCACTTATAGGAAACGTCCAGAAAAGGCAATATTAGAGAGACAGGAAGGTGTCTGGGGTGGGGGGTGAAAATGGGGAGTGACTGTAAACTGGGCATCGGGGATCTCTTTGGGGTGATGGAGGTGTTCCAAAACGGAACTGTAGTGATGGCTGCACAAGTCTGTAAATGTGCTAAAAATCACTGAATTGTACAAATTAATTGTGAAATTAAATGGTATATATAACACATATATATGATGTTAAAAAAACCTACACAAGGATGTGGACATCATCTGATGTTATTATCATTTGTTAACTTACATGTCACCTATGCGCAGAGTCTAGAACTGACAGCAGTTAATAAATATCTGGGAACTCATAAATGAGTGGTAGGAATGATTGTGGAGCAGGATAGATTATACACCATGTATATAATCAATAAACAGAAGGTGGCCAAAATGTCAGCCAAGCTAAAATCATTTCCTGTACCGATGACTCGGAGAGAAACCCCACTAACCTGAGACCACACGAGTTATCATCTCCTCATTGCACTGTGCCCTCTAATCTGATTTTGCTGGCTCTTTATTTCAATTGACTAATTTTGGCATCAGTTCTACATGAAGTAATTGGGATCTCCTTAGTTATTATATCTGGTATTTTAGATTGAAAATAATGTTGGGGAATAGAATAATTTGAAGGACTTTTATTACTAATAGTTGTAATTGTACATGTAGCTATAGTTCCCTTTGTGGTGTTAAAACTGTCTTCCTCCCACACTACAAAAGTCCTGTGTCACTTGGATTTCCTTGCAACTTCCTCTTCACCGGATGTCAGCAATTTTATACCCTTGCAGGTTTGACATCCACAAATTACTTGAGCACCTGTTCTTGTTCCTATTTTTTTTTTGGATCTTACATTGTTTTGATCAACAAGTATGCAGACTATGCAGACACTCATGCTCACTATTTTTTTCTTAAAATATATTTTTTATTTCAGAGAGGGAGGGAGGGAGCGAGGGAGGGAGGGGGAGAGAGGGGGAGAGGGAGGGGGGAGGAGAGAGAGAGAGAGAGAGAGAGAGAGAGAGAGAGAGAGAGAGAGAGAGAGAGAGATCAATGATGAGAGAGAATCACTGATCTGCTACTCCTGTGCCCTATTGGGGGTCGAGCCTGCCACTGGGGCATGTGCTCTGACCAGGAATCGAATCATGACCTCCTGGTTCATAGGTCAATGCTCAACCACTGAGCAACACCAGCTGGGCTCATGCTCACTATCTTGATGTCAAATTTGAACCTGGGTGCCAAATGTGGTCCCTCGGCAGGGCTGTGCTGAGTGGTTCTGCAGTCACGTTCAGACTGACAATTAACACTGCCTGCCATGAACACATGCCATGTGAGCTCCTGTTACAATTCCTGTTCTAGGGGCTCAGCTCTGAAAATCCAGTTTCTCACCCACACCCAGAATTCTCCATGTGGGATGCTCCACGTCTAACCCAAAGGCTGGCACGGACCCCTCATTAAACTGGCAATCCATCCTACTTCCTTGCCCACAGTATGATTTCATCTTCTCCTAGTTTAATCACAGAGTTGAGCTCAGGAGGAGAGAAAAGAGAGGATGAGTGGAAATCTACACTTACCATTGAACATTTTCTATGTGCCAGACACTGAGTGAGGTACTTTGTACATTTGATCTCATTCAATTCTCGTAAGAACTCTACGAGATACACATTGTCATCTACACTGGTGACAAGCTGAGGTTCCAAGAGGTTAAATTACATGTGAGGACAAAGGGCTAGGAAATGGTGATTGGCAGCCAGGCTTACTGTACTCACTGTGTGACAGGCCTCATGCGCTAAAACCCTTGTGTTTTATTCATGAGGATACGAAGTTCTAGTGATGGCAAGTGGGCGACTAAATGTCACAGGGCTACTGTGTAGCAAACAAAACACTTGAGCCCAGGGCTTCTATTTCTTATTCTAGTTTTCTCAGGTGGCTATCTCTCTAATGTAAACAACGGCTTTGACTCCAACTCAAAAAATTCCCCCTGCGGATCCTGATTCTCTTCTCGGTATAAAGTGGTGCTATGCAAACTAAGAAACAAGAGGAAACCAAACCAACAAAACATACTGAGCCTGAAAGAGCAAGACCCTCCAGTCCGCAGTCTTCAGTTTAAACACATTGGGCTTCTTCTCGTAGTCCGTGGCCTTGGACGCCAGAGCGTGGTGCACACTCACTGCGTTTTTCAAGTCCTCTTCCGACAGAGACTTTTCCGGCTTATACTCATCCTGCAGGCGGATACAGAAGAAACAAAGAGGAGAGCATGCTCAGATCCCACCTCTTTATAAATCGTGGAAATACAAGAAAAGGATCTGAAACGTTCATGACGGTGCGTGAAAAGAGTAAAATGAATGGTGAGTGAAGACAACTGCTTGCTACTTCATAAGCATCACAAAACATCCTGTTGTTTGAAAAGTGTGCTCAGAATGAGAAAATACACTTTACCTAAGGGGCACTCTGTAAAAGCTGATATGTCATAATTAAGGTAAACAGCTGAAGGAGGCTGAAGATAAAATATCACGGACGTTTTGTGGTGGCTTGAAGTGATGCTAGTTACACAGTTAGGATGATGTGGTTTCCGGAATAAATGGACAAAAGCTTTCAGATACCCATCAACAGAATTACACGGATGGTGAAAGCCACTGTTTTCCTTGCTCTAAAGACACTATATGGGAGTGGGGTGGGGGGTGGGGGAGAAGCGGTCAATGGGGAAAAAAGGGGGCATCTGTAATACTACAACAATAAAAATAGATTAAAAAATAAAGTTAAAAAGGGTGAGATGAGTGAAAAAATAATAAAGACACTACGTTTTCCTGCTACTTTCTTTTGAGGCTAATATTATCAAAAGAACAGTGAACAGTAAAATGAAATGATTTCTCCAGCTGTTCTCTGGAAGACAAGAGGAAAATCACTTTAATAATCAGGAGAAAGCTTAGCACTTTATCATAAATTTGAAAAATGGGTAAAATGACATAAAAAGGAAGATGTCATGTATAGATGCAGTTTTATCTTTGGGCATGATCTATAAGTTAATAGAATTTATAAAGGTTTTTTTGCATGGCTTCCCTCCAAACATAAATTTGAAAACGCAACCAGTAGAACAAAAATTCAAAACAAATTTGATTCTTTTATTACTATTATTATTATATCCAATAGTTTTCCTGGATGGTAGTGGTGGTGATTGTAATTCTTATTCTATATAGTAGTTTTCCTGGGCCCATTAGAATTAGAAAAGGCCTCAAAACTAATGTAAATATAGTAAACATTACAAACTGTTACAGGAGATGTTTTCTAGTGTTTAAAGTCCTCTTTTCCCTCTTCCCATATTTTATCAGATATGATGCTAAACTTGCACTTCTGTAAAGAGCACACACACACGCATGTACACACACACGCACGCACACACACACACACGTGTGCGCAATTCACTTTCTAATTAGTAGTAAAAGCCTAAAGGAAGACATCAACTACTACCACAGGATAGTTTTATAAATTTTCTGAAAAATTACAATTAGACTTTCCCATACCTTCTCCCCTTCTCCTCATCCCCTCCACAAATCAAGCAATAATTCAAATGTACTATTACTGTCATTTCAAATTGAGTCAGCAATAAACAGCAGCTGTTTATCCATAATGACAAGCATGTCAAACTCAAAGGCTAACACAGGCCAAATAAACAAGGTTTAAGTTTATGTGGGCTGGAAAAAAGAACGCTTCAATTTTCATAGAAGCGTCTGTTATTTCGATAGAGACATGCTGAATACAAAGGGCTGAAATAAATGAGTAATGGTTAACATAAAATAATAGAACATTTAAAAAAATTAATATTTTTTCTTGAACTTACCAGACACTGAATAACTGCACAAATTTTAATAAGCGTAATGCAAATAAGCCTATTTTTCTTGTTCTCTGAAAGAGAAATATTTCCTGTTGTGCACACCAAACAAGTCAGTCCAAGACTAATGACATGGCAATCGGCTGCTGAAATATTTGCTGCTAGTTAGCGGAGAGAAATGGTGCACCTGCGCGTAAGGTGCGTAAGGGAAATGAATGCAACACGATTATAGTAATCAGTCATTGGCGAACATTGTAGTTCGTTATTAATAATTATGTGTACCAGGATATTGTAAAAATTAAGTTACAAAATTTTTATTAAAACGTTTCTTACATACCGTTATATTGGCTGGGCCACAAAAAATATTCGTTGTGGGCCGCGAATTTGACATACTTGCTTAATGATTACTGTTAGTGCTAAGAGACAAAGGTAGGGATTATCCAAAATACACAGTACATGTTCTCCTCTGTTCCCCTTTGGGACCACATCCAAAAAGCTTCTGCACAGCAAAAAGAAACCATCAGCGAAATGAAAAGGGAACTCACTGTATGGGAGAATGTATTTGCCAATGATATATCTGATAAGAGCTTAATTTCCAAAATATATAAGGAACTCATACAACTTAACAAAAGAAGACAAACCAATTAAAAAATGGGCAAAGGATCTAAATACACACTTCTCCAAAGTGGATACACAGAAGGCCAAGAAACATGAAAAAAATGCTCAAAGTCAGTAATCATCAGAGAGATTCAAATTAAAACAATGAAATATTAACTCACACCTGTCAGAATGGCTACCATCAACAAATCAACAAATGACAAGTGCTGGCAAGGACGTGGAGAAAAGGGAACTGGTACACTGCTGGTGGGAATGCTGGTGGCAGCCACTGTGGAAAATAATATGGAGTTCTCTCAAAAATTAAAAATGGAACTGCATTTGACCCAGTGATCCCACTTCTGGGAATATATCCTAAGAATCCTGAAATACCAAGCAGAAAGAATATATGCACCCCTATGTTCATAGCAGTGCTATTTACAATAGCTAAGATCTGGAAACAGCCTGAGTTCCCATCAGTAGATGAGTGGATAAAAAAGCTGTGGTACATTTACACCATGGAATACTATGCAGGTATACAAAAGAAGGATCTCTTACCCTTTGAGACAGCATGGAGGGACCTGGAGAGTATTATACTAAGCAAAATAAGCCAGTCAGAGAAAGACAAGTACCACATGAAATCACTCATATGTGGAATCTAGTGAACAAAATAAAATGATGAACAGAATAGATCCAGAGACATAGAAGCATGGAACAGACTGAAGAATCTCAGAGAGGAGGTGTGGGTGGGTGGGTAGGTGGGAGAGATTAACTGGGGAACTTTTATGTGTATATACATAATCCATGGACACAGGCATTAGTTGTGGTGAAGGCCTGGGGGTGGGGTGGTGCAGGATGGAAGGGGAGGTTAATGGGGGGGGGGGAGTGGGGACATCTGTAATACTTTCAACAATAAAGATGTTTAAAAAAATAAAATAGAAAGTAGAAAAAAATACACAGTAAATTCCAAAAGCAATATAAAGACTGCTTAAATTTATAACTTCAAGATGGCAACAAGTCTATTTTATTAGGCCTCAGAGATATAAAACTGCTGTTAACAATATAAGTTTTCTAGAGAGATATGATGAATAAAGGAGCATAAAAAGAAAACTTTAAATATAATATAGTTACATGTATCTGTTCTTCTATAATGACCTTTAATGCATAAAACTATAGTCTACTTATGTCTTGGGGTTTTATCTTTTCTAAATGAGATGTTTATTAGGGCCTTAGCATTCCAAAGGCTCACAAATCTCCTCCCAGGGGAACTGTTTTAGTGTAGGAGTACGTGCTAGAGGTAGCATGACTTTGAAGCCCTCTCCAGCCTTATGATGATGCTGTAACAGAAACCTGAAGAGCTGGCCACCCACTCAACTTAACCACTTGGTTCCAGACAGGAATCTGAGGGGGATAAATGACCAGGGCCAGAATTATCTTCATAGAATTGACATGATACTTCCATTTCCATACATACTGATCTCTAATACACCTGATATTTGAGTTTGCACAAGAGATCAGCCTAGAAATTTGTATGCACCATTTTATTTTATTATTATTATTTTTTAAATATATTTTATTGATTTTTCACAGAGAGGAAGGGAGAGAGATAGAGAGCTAGAAACATCGATGAGAGAGAAACATCGATCAGCTGCCTCCTGCACATCTCCCACTGGGGATGTGCTCGCAACCCAGGTACATGCCCTTGACTGGAATCGAACCTGGGACCTTTCAGTCCGCAGGCTGACGCTCTATCCACTGAGCCAAACCGGCTTCGGCAGCACAATTTTAGATGTTCTGGGTCCATGATTTGGGTTTTTATCTTCATTCTTTATATTAGTTTCTTTTGATTAATTTTTCTTGTTTGAATTTAGGATTATTACTTAGTTCTTTTTCATATTCTTTAAGAAAATTTAAGGCTACTTTTTTTTTCTCTGGCTACAGGTTACACAAAGTTGAGAATGAAGAGTATGTTTTTATTATTCTCTAGATAGTTTGTAGTTTTATTTTTTGATCTTAGTCATGCCTAGAATGTGTTTCTCAAATTTAAAGTATCTAAATTTTTAGTTATTTATCATTATATATTTCTAATTTTATTGGCTTGTGACCAGAGAACATAGTCTGTAAAATCTATTTTATTTCCTCAAAATTTGTTAAGGTTAATTTATTAAGGTTTTCCAACTACATCTTTGACTTTGTTAATGTTCCACAAACATACAAAATAAGTTTATTTCTTGAGGGATGAGTGCATATTTATATTCAAGTTTATTGATTCAATTCCTCCATTACATTATTTTTTCTACCACTTTATCCTCTTGAGACAAGTATATTAATTTCTTTTTTCCACTATATCATATTTTAAGTTCCTCTTGCATTTCCAACAACTTTGTCCTACATTTAAAAAAATATGTTTGCATTGACTTGTTTTTAGAGAGAGAAAGGGAGAGGGAGAGAAAAACATCCATGCGAGAGAAACATCAATCAGGTGCCTCCTGCACGCCCCTACTGGATATCAAGTCTCTAACCTAGGCATGTGCTCTGATCGGGAATCAAACCAGTGACCTCTTGGTACATTGGATGACACTCAACCAACTAAGCCACAGTGGCCAGGGCTTGTCCTACGTTTTAGTTGCTATGTTGTTTGTGTATTTAGGTTTATCACTGTTATCTTCCTTATAACTATGTGATACTTATTATTTTAAAATGTTCTTTATCGGGTTTAGTGCTTAGTTACATAAAATGGAAACTTATAAGCTCCCCTCATCAAAATGCTCTATTTCTCTACTGCTTGTTTACATCAAC